ATCTACATTTATTCAAATATAATTAAGTCATCTTCTCCTGGAACATCATCATAACTCTCCAAAACCCGAATTCCATCCTGAATTTCTTGCGACTCTATTTCCTTTAGAACCATTGGCCCCAATCTCTCATGTTGACCAATAGAGCTTTCATGGGGCAGATGAGAAGGGCTGCTCCTCTTCTTTACTGCTCCACAACGAAATGCACGGGTTGTGCAGATATGCTGCGTAGCCACACACATCACTAGGTCTTATTTTCGGGGTAGGGCTTATATTGCACAAATGCTTAGAAATCCTGCTAGGGCTTATTTTATGGGTAGGTCTTATTTTTGGGGAAACACGGTAGGTCTGTTTGTTTTGGGGTCCTATTTAAGTCCAGTGTTTCTATATTTATTTTCTGCTTTGATGATTTGTCAGCTCTGACAGTGAGGTGTTGAAGTCCCTAGATTTACAATGCTACCATTTAATATTTATTTCTTTGCTTAGCTCTAGTAGAATTTGTTTTATGTATCTGGGAGCTCCTGTGTTAGGTGCACATATATGTAGTATTGTTACGTTTTCTTGCTGAATTGCTCCCTTTACCATTATGTAATGAACATCTTTGTGTTTCTCTACCATTGTTGATTTAAAGTCAATTTTGTCTGAGATGAGAATGGCTATACCTGCTCTCTTTTGGTTTCCATTTGTGTGGAATATTTTTCCCATCCTTTCACACTGAGCCCGTGTGTGTCCTTGTGGTTTAGATGTGTTTCCTGGAGACAGCAGATATTTGAGTTGTGTGTTTTCATCCATTCATCCAGCCTGGGTCTTTTGACTGGTGCTTTTAAAGCATTAACGTTGAGAGATAGAATTGATAGGTGGGATGCTGTTCTGTTTATATGTTGCATAGTGCCTTATCACCTTGTTTTCCCTTGTGTGATATTGTTTTCTAAGAGTTGTGAGCTTTAGCTTTTTTGGGGTGATTTTACACTGGTGGGTAGCTATTGTGCTGATTTGTGTGTAATGCAGTTCTGAGTATTTTCTGCAGGGCAGAGCTGATCATAACAAATTCCCCCAGTGTTTGCTTTCTGGAAAAGACTTAATTTCTCCATCAATTGTGAAACTCAGTTTTGCAGGATACAAAATTCTAGGTTGGCAGTTGCTCTGCTTAAGAAGATTGAAGTTTGGGCCCCACTCCCTTCTGGCTTTTAAGGTTTCTGCTGAGAAGTTTTCTGTTAGCCTAATGGGTTTTCCTTTGTAGGTCATTGCTTACAGGTGCTGCTTGCAGAATTTTTCTTCATTTTTACTTTGGCCAGGGTGAATATTGTGTGTTTCGCGATGTCCTAGTGCATGAATGTTCTGGGTTTCAGATGTCCATCTGTGCTCTCCATGTCTGGATCTCTGACAATCCAGGAAGTTTTTCTCAATAATTCCCTCTAATAGATTTCCATGCTTTTATCTCTTTTCTCTTCTCTCTCAGAGTATACCTATTGCTTTCTATGGTAGTTGCTTTGCATGGTGTCCCATATCTCTCTAAGTGGTTGTTCTGCTTTACATCTCTTCTCTGCCTCTTACTTCAGCTACAGCACTCACCAGCCACAAAACATTGCCCACAGCGGCACTCACAGTCCTGCATGAAGTTATGTGCTGTGCATCTGACGAGGATCCGTTGGCTCTGTGGTGTGATGAGATAAGCTTGAAAGCACTGAAGCTGTTATTCAGGCAGCTTTACTTGTAATGTAAACAGAATAGGTAATAAACATTTTATATGTAAACAAGAAAAGAAAAGAAAAATCATACAGTGGTAAAGCGCTGTGCGTGTTCTATCAGGGTATGTCTGGCACGTTCACTGCATAACAAGTCGACGCTTCGACAATGGTTAAATTCGATGTGCTGTGTGATTGTTTAGTGTTGTTGAAGCATTATGGGATCTAAAATGACTCCTATAATCAAACAGTGGATGCTGGTTTTCATAATCCAAAATATCTGATCTCTTTGTTGTTTTTCGAACTTCTCTCTTCAACTTAGTTTATGTTATTTGCCATCCATGTTCTTAATTCCATTTCTGTTCATTCATGCAAAATTTCCTTTGGTTGAAGTTTACTACTGTAGCCCATTGTGAATCCCTTTGGTATTGAACTGTTTTGTTTTTTCATGTTGCCCAGTTTTTTTGCTGTTTATTCTCATCTGGAATCTCTTTCTCAACTCAGGGATAACAGGTCTGCAGGGTACCTGTTCACTGCTGGGAACTCTCCTGCTTAATTGGAAGCACCCCAGTGCTCTATCCTCCTATTTTCCATGCACGTAGACCTGCCCCTACAGTCACCTTCAGCCTTGTGAAACGTATCGCCTGGGCACATTCTCCTTCACTTGAATATCCCAATTGCTTCTCTGTATTCAGAGTGTTTCTTTGAGAAGAGTTATCAGCATGTAGGCTCTGCCTGCAGTTATATCTGCTCTTCCTTGAGGATGCTCCTTCTTGTTCTGCTCCGCAACTTCTTCCCATGGAATCTCAGGTGGTTCTGCGACTTTCCCCCAGAATTACACCTGAGCTCTGTTTTCTTCAATTAAAACTTTTCCTTCTTTCTGAGACGATTTGGCCACCAATGTCTCTAGTCAGCCATCGTGCCTACACCCTAGGATATATTTGTTAATGAGAAACAGACACATGTGCACCACACACCTCAGAATGCCTATGTCTGTAGAGTTAATACTTGTGAAATACTACGGTGAGTCCATGTGCATGTGAAGTCACATTTTATAAACCCAACATAATGGACTGCATCTTAGGGTGTCTGACATTTCCATCATAATGAAGTATAACAGTTTCATATAAAGAGAGAGGAATGTGCCATTTATGATAAATTCCCTGATATCTTGTAGCTCATATATGAAATGAATGATAGAGTTTTTCTTAAATTGATCCAAGTCTTGGGATTCAAACTGATGCACCATCACATCTGCTGCATTCTACTGGCCAAAGCAACCAGGTGTCTCCTTTCTTAAAAACAGTAAGGAATGCTCTGTTAAAGAGTCCTAACATCTTTTAGATATTTGATGGTGGCTCTCTACAGAATCGACAGTTAGGGACACTGCCGATTCTGGTAATAGTTACTAGCATAGGGATGTAGAAATTCCAGAATGGCAGAGACAAGGTAGCAGCACATAGTTACTAGAAAGAAGACGATATAATTACAAAATGTGCAGCAATACAAGAGTGGTTACCCTGCGCCTACATTTTCTTGACCTATAGGTTCTATAACAGTGGCTACTATATTGTGGTGTCCCTAAGGGCAAGGTGAATATGAAGCACACTAGGGTTTCTGAAATTATATGATCCTGGCTCCTCCCACAGCACAGAAATTCATGTCAGTTTACAGGGACATTAACCAGTCATTGAGGGGCCTATTGAATCTGTAGTGAAACATTCTAACACCAACACAGGGTGTAGATATATGTTCATATATGTATAAAACAAGTATTCTCCTATTTGCCAAATGTTGCCTTAGCTGTGTGGCAGGGTTACTGTGCACTGGAGAAAGGGGAGTATGAAGAGTCTTTAAGGACTCTTAGATCTGAAGTCTGAGCTGACACTCAAGGGAAAAGGAAATCATGGTTATCCAGTTAAAGTAGGGTCTTATAGAGACAGAAGATAAAGGAAGCTTTAGCTCAAACCCATTTCACAGTAATTTGAAAGAATGCACAAACCTAATCTGTGACTATAGCCCAAACCCCACACTGTATAGCTGGGATAGACGTGGGCATAGATGTGGCAGAATTCTCACACAGATCCTTTGACTTGGAGAGTAGGAGCTATTGTGATAGCAAGAACCGAGTGGAAACCCTGGGAGCTGTCTTAGCCAAAATAATAATTCGCAAGGAATTTTAGAGATCAGTGTCAGATGAGTCATAAAAGATGTGGTAGTGGTATTCTCCGTCATCTCCCTTTTGCACTTGCCTATGTGACTGTTGCAAAACCAGAGGGATGATACTGGATGATGGAGGACTGCTATATCCGTAAACACTGGTAGCCTAAATTTGTGGCTGCTGTGCTGAATGTTGTGTCTTTGCTAGACAGTATCTACCAAACTCTGGCACTTGGTATGTGGTCTTGAGCTGGTGATTGCCTTCTTTTTCACTGCCACTAAGAAGGTGGCTTGTGAGCAGTTGGCTTTTTCATGGAAAAATAGAAGTGGACATTGGTTGCCTTGCCATAGTCTATGTTAATTTTTCTGCTGTCACCATATAGCTCACAGGGACCTTGATTATCTTCACATCCTACAGTAACGTCACAGTGGTCGACCATAATATCATCACCCTGATTGGACCTGAGAAACAGGAATGGCAAGTAACTTGCATGCCCTAATAATTTACATCTGGATTGAGGTGACTAGTAGGGTTGCCTAAGGCTGACTCTATCTCTTGGTGGAGGTCTTGGTTCCTCTCAAAGGTAATCTTCTGCACATGTTGTTCACCTTCTACATTGTCACAGCCCTTTCTGTCACTTGTCACTTTGGTCTTGGGTTAGCAACAGCTCTATAGTTATGAGTCCTGGGTATGTCACTATCCCTTGCTTGTGCTTTTTCTTCCCTGACTCACACATTTAATATTTCCTGTATTAAACCCTCCTCAATTGCCTAGATTGTACCATTTCTACCCTACTGGGGCCTTCTGGGACATGTCCCAGTTGTTGGAAAGTCTCAGGAGGGATGCCTCCCAACAACCCATGAATATACACACATATGTAATAATTTTATAGATATAATGCATGTTTAGCCTATAATTTACAAATGATAACATATACACTATCATTTATTTTAAATTTCATATAGGTAAATTATTCACATAGAATGCTTTGGTTGATCTTTTCCACACACTATTGCATCCATAGCCAACATGTGTTTGCAATGCATGAACAGGTTATGAACAAAAGCTTATTATTGAATTTTGAAAAGTTGTTCACATCACTGACAAATAGGTATAGTTAGAATATGAATGTGTGCTGATAATTTTGTCTTCTACAGGGTTTAAACCTCAGGCGTAGGGAGCCGACCTGTTCATCTTAGAGTCCTTTGGAGCCTATCATGGTGTCTGTACCCAGGGGCAATGAAGAATGAAGGAACAGATACAGGGAGAAAATGCCTTTGACTTTTCCCACAGTTCAAGAACAATAACCTGCTATTGGACAAAAGTTGCCTCTGAGAGTCTGCACCTAGTTCAGGGACACTGGGTTCAGGCAGAAATGACCCCAATTCCTTACCTCACTGCCCCTGTGCCCTGCACCATGGGACCCACCACAGCCTCCACCTCACTCTGACTCTGGGCTCGGTCGTGGGACCTGCCTTGGGCTCTTCCTCTTGCTCTTCTGCCATCCATGGAGGACATGGTCAGGCCAGCCTTCTGGAGGATGTGGCCCGGGAGAGCTGAGCATCCCAGACATGTGAGTGAGCCCAGACTGGAGCAGAAGGACCATCCAGCAGAGCCAAGCCCAAATCACTGACACGTAGACACCTCACATGAGTAAATGCTTGTGGTTTTAATCTGTTGAGTTTTCCATTCATCTGTTTATCTATAGTATTGCCACAGTAGTTAACTGATAGGCCTCAAAATGAATGTGTACCCCATGCTAGATTGTATATATCCTTGGAGGAGAAAAACACAATAGTAGAAACAGTTTTATACACAGAAATGTATTCCCTCCTTTGCAGTTTTATATCCTCTTACAATAATTCTCAAATCTATATAATTTGTATTTATACCCTCCAAATGCTTCTATCTGAAGAGTTCAGAAGATTAATAGCCCTTAATTGAATTGCTGACAGGAAATCTCCAAAATTCAGTATGTATGTGGTGTGTGTGTGGTGTATATGTATCTGTGTCTGTAGAATAAGGTACGTATGCATGGTATGGTGTGTATGTGTAGTGTTAGGGCATTGTGTACATGTGTGTTTTTCACATGTAGAAGGGGGTGCGGAAAAGGTACATGAAACGTACATGTGTGTACATGTGTAAGGGGTATGGTATGATTTGAGTAATATTAACCTTGTGTAAGAACTGTGTATGCATGATTTTTTGGTAAATGTAGGGTGAGTATGCAGCCTTTGTGAGTATACAGCTGATGTGGCATTGTGTATATGTTCATGTGCATTGGGTGGTGGGGCTGGTTCTGTGTGTTTTGAGGGTGTTGTGAATATGTATGTGTAGTCACCCAGAATGGAGACTCAGGGTGAGGTTGTGTGTGTGTGGGGTGATTGATGGGAGTTTGCCTGGTGGGCACAATGTGCCTCCAGTCTCTCCGGTGATGAAGGCACTGAAGGCCTTGCTTCACAATCATGCAATATATCAATGTAGCAAAATTGTACTTGAACCCCATGAATATATACAAATGAAAAAAATTTTAAAGAATATGTATGCAATGCATTTGAGAAGAGGTAGTGTTATACATTTTAGTGCTTTGCATGTTGCATCTGTATATATTCAGAGTAGAGGGAGTTATATCTATGAGTATAGTGTCTAGGTAAGAATTTAAGGGATACATTTTTTAGGAGATATATTTTTGGTATGGTGGAGTTTAGGGAGAATAGGGTTGTTGAGTGTATTTTTGTGTCACAAGTTATATAGTTGGAGTTTACTACTGTAGCTCCATTGTGAATCCCTTGGGTATTGAACTGTTTTGTTTTTTCATGTTGCCCAGTTTCTTTTGCTGGTTTATTCTCATCCTGGAATCTCTTTTCTCAACTCAGGGATAACAGGTCTGGCAGGTACGCTGTTCATTGCTGGGAACTCTCCTGCTTAATTGGAACGACCCCAGTGCTCTATCCTCCTATTCTTCCCAGCACGTAGATGGCCTCCCTACAGTCACTTCAGCCTTGTGAAACGTATCGCCTGGGCACATTCTCCTTCACTTGAATATCCCAATTGCTTCTCTGTGATTTCAGAGTGTTTCTTTTGAGAAGAGTTATCAGCATGTAGGCATCTGCCTGCAGTTTATACTGCTTCCCTTGAGAGTGCTCCTTCTTGTTCCGCTCCGCAACTTCTTCCCATGGATCTCAGGTAGGTCTGGCACTTTCCCCCAGAATTACACCTGAGCTCTGTTTTCTTCAATTAAAACTTTTCCCTTCTTTCTGAGACGATTGGCCCACCAATGTCTCTAGTTCAGCCATCGTGCCTACACCCCTAGGAATATATTTGTTAATGAGAAACAGACACATGTGCACACACACCTCAGAATGCCTATGTCTGTAGAGTTAATACTTGTGAAATACTACGGTGAGTCCATGTGCATGTGAAGTCACATGTTTTAATAAACCCAACATAATGGACTGCATCTTAGGGTGTCTCGACATTTCCATCATAATGAAGTATAACAGTTTCATATTAAAAAGAGAGAGAATGTGCCATTTATGATAAATTCCCTGATATCTTGTAGCTCATATATGAAATGAATTGATAGAGTTTTTTCTAAATTGATCCAATCTTGGATTCCAAACTGATGCCACATCCCATCTGCTGCATTCTACTGGCAAAGCAACCAGGTGTCTCGCTTTCTTAAAAACAGTAAGGAATGCTCTGTTAAAGAGTCGTAACATCTTTTAGATATTTGATGGTGGCTCTCTACAGAATCGACAGTTAGGGACACTGCCGATTTCTGGTAATAGTTACTAGCATAGGGATGTAGAAATTCCAGAATGGCAAGAGACAAGGTAGCAGCACATAGTACTAGAAAGAAGACGATATAATTACAAAATGTGCAGCAATACAAGAGTGGTTACCCTGCGCCTACATTTTCTTGACCTATAGGTTCTCATAACAGTGGCTACTATATTGTGGTGTCCCTAAGGGCAAGGTGAATATGAAGCACACTACGGTTTCTGAAATTATATGATCTGGCTCCTCCCACAGCACAGAAATTCATGTCAGTTTACAGGGACCATTAACCAGTCATGGAGGGGCCTATTGAATCTGTAGTGAAACATTCTAACACCAACATAGGGTGTAGATATATGTTCATATATGTATAAAACAAGTATTCTCCTATTTGCCAAATGTTGCCTTAGCTGTGTGGCAGGGTTACTGTGCACTGGAGAAAGGGAGTATGAAGAGTCTTTAAGGACTCTTAGATCTGAAGTCAGAGCTGACACTCAAGGAAAAGGAAATCATGGTTATCCAGTTAAAGTAGGTCTTATAGAGACAGAAGATAAAGGAAGCTTTAGCTCAAACCCATTTCACAGTAATTTGAAAGAAGCACAAACCTAATCTGTGACTATAGCCCAAACCCCACACTGTATACGCGGATAGACGTGGGCATAGATGTGGCAGAATTCTCACACAGATCCTTTGACTTGGAGAGTAGGAGCTATTGTGATAGCAGAACCGAGTGGAAACCCTGGGGAGCTGTCTTAGCCAAAATAATAATTCGCAAGGAATTTAGAGATCAGTGTCAGATGAGTCATAAAAGATGTGGTAGTGGTATTCTCCGTCATATCCTTTTGCACTTGCCTATGTGACTGTTGCAAAACCAGAGGGATGATACTGGATGATGGAGGACTGCTATATCCGTAAACACTGGTAGCCTAAATTTGTGGCTGCTGTGCTGAATGTTGTGTCTTTGCTAGACAGTATCTACCAAACTCTGGCACTTGGTATGTGGTCCTTGAGCTGCTTACAGCGTGCTGCTTGCAGAATTTTCTCCTTCATTTTTACTTTGGCCAGGGTGAATATTGTGTGTCTTCGAGATGTCCTAGTCGCTATGAATGTTCCTGGTGTTCAGTGTCCATCTTGTCTCTCCATGTCTGGATCTCTGACAATACCAGGGAAGTTTTTCTCAATAATTCCCTCTAATAGATTTTCCATGCTTTTATCTCTTTTCTCTTCTCTCTCAGATATACCTATGCTTTCTATGGTAGTTTGCTTTGCATGGTCCCATATCTCTCTAAGTGGTTGTTCTGCCTTTTAAATTCTCTTCTCTGCCTCTTTAACCACTTCAGTACAGCACTCACCAGCCACAAAACCTTGCCCACAGTGGCACTCACAGTCTGCATGATAGTCTGTGCTGTGCATTGACGACGACTCCGTTTTGCTCTGGTGTGATGAGGAAAGCTTGAAAGCACTGAAAGCTTGTTTTATTTACAGGCAGCTTTACTTGTAATGTAAATCAGAATAGGTAACATATACATATGTTTTTATTATGTTATTTTTAAATGTTACAATTTTATTTTGATAAATGAAAATTTAGAAAAGTCATATCACAGCTGTCGGCTAAAGTAGACGCTCGGCTGTGCGTGTTCATATCACGGCTGTTGGCTAAAGTCGCTGTGCACGTTCATCTGTGGCTATCAACTATAGTCGATGCTCGTACCAAAGTGGTTAAATCTGAGTTAGCTTGAGAGACTTGTTTAGTCTGTTGTTGAAGCATTCTGATGTTTGGAAATTCCCTAAATGACCCTTCATTTCTTTAAATTCTATTATATCCTTTCTTATGTTGTGTAGCTCTTTAGTGGCTTTTTCATTAATTTCCCAAAATATTTCTTTGGCATCTCTTTGTTGGTTTTCAACTCTCTCTTCAACTTCATTTATGTTATTTGCCATCCATGTTCTTAATTCCATTTCTGTCATTCATGCAAATTTTCCTTTGGTTGGAATATAATAAAATAAATAAGTTTTGTTTATATATTATTTTTAGAATAAATTAATCACAAAGAAACAAATCTAATGATTTACTATTCACATTTTCTTCTAAGGGAACAATTTTTTTAAAAGTTTTTATTAAAACAGAACAGTAAAGAGAAAGACCTTAAAATAAAGAATTTTTATTGGCAAAAAGCTTAACCGCAAACATTCAAAATTTAAAAAGACTCAAAATATAATAAAGAAAAAATTCACACTCTCTCCACTGCCTTAAACTGCAAAATAGCACCCTCTTTAATATATATCTTGGGAGCAGGTATTCTCTCTATGCCTCCATATCTTAATATAAGTCTAAAAAAGAGAATAATTAAATGCTCCGCCTGAATCCTAATTTTTCTCTCTATATCTTTTTGGCGCTGCCGTCATAAGATCTTTTCATATCTCAGTGTTTCGCCAATAATATAAATTTATTCAGATGATTTAACTTTTTTTAAGTGACAAGGCTCGCTCTTTCACCCAGGCTAGAGTGTGGTGGTGTGATCATAGCTTACCTGCATCCTTAAACTCATGTCTCAGTGATCCACATCAGCTCTTAGTAGCTGGGATTATAGCATGCCACCACACCAGCTATATTTAACTTTTTATAATGAAAAAATACATAAATTCTTATGATTATTTTTTTTGTTCAATATTATGTGTACAATTTAGTAATACCTATAGCTGATTTATTCATTTTCATCACTGTATAAATTCTATTTTCAGACTATACAAAATTTACTTATTCTCCTATTGACAGACATTTTGAGTTCAGATTTTTGTATTATAGACTTTGCTGTATAAACAGTTCTTATCTCTTTCAATTGCATATGTGCAAGAATTTCTCATAAGTACATCTATGTGGAGTAGAATTGCTAAGGTACGAATACCCAATCTTCATTTCTACTAACTAGATAATGCCAGATTGCAAAAACATATTATATATTATATATATAATAAATATATAT